GTTGAGCGGACCCCACGTCACACGCGACGCGTTTCGAGGATGTCGCCGTTTCGCGAGACGGCTTTTTCCGTCTTCAATTGTTTTCAGAGTCACGTCGAAATTTGCTAAAAAGCACTGTAGATCGCTTACATACACTCGCTAATTATTATTATGATTTTTTTCTTTTAAATATCTTTAATACTATTTGTTCACATCTGGTTTTTGTTTGTTTTTTTTTTCTATGTACGTTACATACATATCTTGCTCTTTCTCTCTGTCTCTCTCCGTCGCTCGTCAGTATTGTCAATCAGAATCCGAAGACTCGCGATCGACAGACTTGCTCGCTCGGATACGAGACGTGATTTTATCCGTGTGCAACTTTCTAACTTCGAGCGTCAGAAGGAGAATGGATTTTCGCTGTACAAATAGGGTGGGGGTTTTCCTTCGGAAAGCGTGCGCATAACTTCTCGGTATTTTCGGTATTTCCGGAGTTTTCAAGTACGCGAGATAGAGGAAAAGAAAAGTGCCTCTGGCACAGAGAGAATTCATATAAATTCATAAAGCGCGCGAACTCTTACTACAAAAATGCATACATCGAGAGATATATATATGTGTGTGTGTGTGCGTCCGGGAACAAAAATTCGAAAGTGCAATAATGCCGCGGAAACAAGAATGGATTTTCGTTGTACGCACACGGTTTGTACGCGTTACAAGATACGGGAATTACGGGTGGTTTCTTCGTCGAATCTGAAAGTTCATGTTTGTTTTCTCCTGCGCGAATAAAAAGAAGCAAAAAAGAATTTAATTGGCACGCGCGAGAGTTTTTGCGCGTAATTTCCAAAATGTCGGCTAAAGGGAACGAAATCGATAAAAAAAAAAAGAAAAAAAAACGCGCAACGGCTCAAATCTCAAATTTTATACAGCAATTTGTCTAAATTTGCTTCTCTGTTCGTTTCTTTAACATGATTCTTCAGTATGATTTTTCGACGCTATTAATTTCGAAAGTTCTAAAACCTCTCGGCGTTATCATAATTGCACATTTTCAAACTCAGACCGCAACAAAAGAGACGCTTGTTCGCTTTCGCGCTTATCTGGCGACATTTCGCAATTACGTATTTTGTTTTCTCCCTTTTAGTCGCGCGAGACGGCGTATGATCAAAGTGACGAGCGAGTCGCCGCGCGCAATTAAGAAAAGCTTCGCGTGCAAGCGTCGCACACCTCTCCAGGACATCGTAACGCATCCGTGCGTCGCGTTTACGACTCCTTCGTGAGTTCTCCGAGAGAGGAGAGTCCCTCGGTGAATCAACCGCGAGTATAAACACGTGTTAAACACGCAAATATATACATAACATGTAATGTATCTGTGCCGCTGTGTGTGACACACAATATGTTTCCACCCCCGGCCGTTTCACTATCAGCTTTCTGAGCTTCTGCATCTCGTCTACGCAGCTTCTAACTCGGACGTGTTACACCCCACGAATAGAGACTTTGATTTGGCTTTCTCTCCCTTTCCCTCCCCTTGGTCCTTCGCCGTCCACTCCCTTTTCTCTTTGTTGCGCACGCGTTTGTGGCAGGTGACTTTATCAAAGTGCCGCCCTCTCCCCCTCGCTCTCACCACAAGCCCGTATTCACATTCTGCAAGCAAGCCTATCAGCTTTCGCGAATTTCGTATTTATGCAATTCTCGTTTCGCGTTGTCGCGATTACTTTTTTTATTTATTTATTAATATCTCTTGTCGATCGTTTCTCTTTTGCGCTCTACTTTTCTGTTTCCGTTTCTTTTTCTCTCGGTTTGTCTCTCACTATCTCTTTCTCTCCTTCTCTTTCTTCATTTTACTCGCGAAGAGGAGAAAGTCTCATTTCGCATTTCTTCCGCGAGAACGGAAGCGAAGAGCTTTTTTGAAAAATCGGGCATTAGCTACGGCCAATTTATTGCAGCGCGCGATCTCCTATTCCTTACTTCTTGCAACAGTTTTTTGTTTTTTATATGAAATAGGAAAAAAGCGACAGTGCAATTTTTTTTTCCAACCCGAGCGGTGTTTTTTGATCGTTTGTTAATATCGGGTGACGGTCTCTCTTTAATCGAGCCGCGCACGGTCCTCGATACTAACAATGGCTGGTCTTTCTGACACGCTCCTGGTATTAGAAACAGAGGAAAAGTGCAAAAGAAAGAAAGAAAGAAAGAACGAACGAACGAACGAACGAACGAAACAATTTTGCAGTTATCCAACAACGAAACGTCGTCGTTTGGGAACGTCGCCGCAAGCTGCGTCATCGGCACAACTTTTACACAACTACCACGATCCAACGACCCCCTTATACTTCCACTTGTGTGTTTTACTTGTCTTTTTTTCCTCCCGTTTCTTTTGGAGACACGACTCTCCTTCCCCTCTCTCGTTTTTCCTGTCTCGAAAATCCAATTATACAGACGTAACGCGCCTCGTCCTCGAAATTAGTTGAAACCGATCCTGTCTTTGTTGCAGATGGACATGAAGTCTGTCGGGTCGTTCTACTACGAGAACTTTGTAAGTGCAGAACCTAAACCACTGAATCATAATTTTCATAATGGCTGCGATTCGCTTTTCCGCGCGTATCGACTCGTTTTGACACATTTTTTTCCAAGGCGATTTCAATTTTTTCTTGCAGCAAAAAACACTGACAAAATTCTTTTCGAGTTTGTTGTTATTATCGATTCGCGAAAATGGTTGCGAAACGTTATCGGTGTGGCGGACTATCGGAGCGATTGTTACACCGTTCCTGTTGGGAAACAACGACGATATCGCTCAGACGAAGATACGTTCGCAATCGAAAAGCTTGCGTCGTTGTTTCGCCGGGACAAAATAAATAATCGCTTTGACAAACACAACGACAACGGCTTGACTTACGGTATTAGCTTGCTACGATTAAATTTTGATTGTCAGCCTGTTGACCATTTTATCGCGGCAACCGTTAAACCCGACGTTATTCCCTGCACGGCTGGATCAAGAGAACCTATGAGCGCACGCAAAAGAGAACAATATTTCGTACTCTTTCCCGGCCGTAACGGAGTCGAGGCTTTTCGTCGGAAGCTTCCGCTCCTCGAGCTGGCGGCCGACGCCGCTCGCGTTAATTCGCTCGTATTAATCGTAAACGTCTTGGGGATTCTTTTTGCAGGCCTTCCCAGGGATGGTTCCGTATAAACGACCGGCGGCCGACAAGTCCGGCGTGCCGGTCTATCAGCCTACCGGCGCGACGACCTATCAGCAGTTAATGCAGCTACAGCAGCCCTTCGTGCCTGTGTCATGTGAGTACACTGGAACACCACCCCTACCCACCCAAACCTCTAACCAATCGGTCGTGCAACCCCCGAACGTGCAAAGCAATCACCACGCAATGGTGGTGCAGTCCTCCTCCTCCCAGGGAGCCGCTGGCGCCACAGTCAATAACTGCGCCGACGCCAACAATGGCGTGCTGATGGATCCCTGCAACAATCCGCCGCCGCCACCTCCGACCGCTGACAATAACAGTAACAGTAGTAACGGCAATAACAAGCAGCCGGTTGCCACGCAGAATCACGATGCCGAAAACGCGCGTAACTCCCCCGAATTGAATCACTCGAGTCCGACGTCGTTGCAACAGCAGCAACAGCAACAACAGCAACAGCAACAGCAGGTTCAGCAACACACGCAACAGCAGCAGCAAATCACTCACCAATTGGCGCTACCACCAGCGATGAGTCCGTTGACCTCGATGGCCGGCCTAACATCAATGCCAGGCGTAGTGAGCATGGCCTCGATGGCCTCTATGGCCTCTATGGCGAACATGTCGCCGATAACGAACATGACCTCCATGGCCAATTATAACGCCGCGTCTAGTATGGCGAGTCTGAACATGCTAAACAGCCTCGGAATGGCGTCCGGATTGCCGGCGCATCTCGACCCCGCGACTATCGCGAAAGAAGTCGCCCAGAAGAACTACGCCAAGGCCATCAAGCTCTCGCAGGCGTCCCAGTCTTACGGCATCGGCCAACTCGCCGCGCTTAATTACACCGGCGTTGCTCTGAACAAGCAGAACCTGGTGAATCCCGCCGCTGCGGCTGCCGCTGGGAATCCCGCGGTGGCGGCGGCCGCCGGTCTGCAAGCCACCGCGGCGACTCCTAGACCTGTCATCTCGAGTCTAGCCAGTATCCCGGGCGCGCTGACCTCACCTTTGTCCGCAGGCATCCTGGCGTACTCCACAAGACCGCCGCCCACCGCGACCCCGATTAATCCGTACACTCTGATCAGACAACAGATCCTGCCGAATCCGTACATGCAGGCCGCGTCGATATCGTCGATGCCGGGCGCCGCGACTGTACAAACCAATCCTTACGTCCAGAATCCGTACGCCGTTTTGCCCGGTGTAGCTAGCGTGCCCGGAGTAGCGGCCGCGGGTGTGTCGGCCGTTCCGCAGATACCGCAGATTGGCAATCCGGCAACGATAGCGGCGCAGCCGCAAGTGGCGATTCCCGTGAGTTCCGGCGTGATCATGCAACCGTACAAGAAGATGAAGACGTCCTAAAGATCCTTGCTTGTCGGCAAGGTGGGTGGGCTCGTCTTTTCTCGCGAGCGTGCTGTTCCTTCCTGTGAGCCCCTTCTGTTTTCTCCCTCGCGGTAACGAGCGAACGATTCTGCGGCACACAATTGCTACTCCCGATATATTCGCTGCGGTGGAATATTTTTTTAGATAAATTCTATCGTTTTTTGCGATTATATGCGCGCGCGCACGAAAATTCTGGGGAAGGGATCGCGAAAAATTATTTTACCGGAACGCGTAATAAATTTATTACGTTTCCCCGAGTAGAGTTTCGCGATATTATATCGTCGCGCAAATTTACAATTGCAATGTGCATCTTACTTTTCCAGATTAAAAGGGGAGATACATTGAAAGAATTTACAATTAATCTAAACGAATATTTTTAGATGATAAATACGAATATATTGAACGAAACACTTGACATAGTTTTTAGTTTTTAGTCGTAAATAGATATGGGAATTAATCCTAGAATGTTATATTTTTCAAGAATCGCGAACTATGCAGCGCAGTGTTTGCGGGATAAGCTTCCTTTTCCCTCTCTCATGTATATGCTGTTGATTTTTTGATTCGCTGTGATAAAAAAAAAATAAAGTAACGTTGTATATACATCGATTGTGAATTGTCAAGGTATCGAATTGCAATTTGTCAGCTTTAATTTATTAAAATGTCGCTAAAAGGTTTTCGGTTCGTCAATTAAAAAGACGGGAGAGAGAGACGAAAGTGCTGTTCTATGATTAATCTCCATTGCTGATGCTCGAAGAATCGGTCCTCGTCCGCGAGAGGGAAACTGAAAGTTTTTAGCTGAGCGACTGCGAGAGACGAGGGAGGGAGGGGGTTGAGAAGATGCTATAAGACAAAATTTAGTTCCGAAAATAGATTCATTTTCTAGTCAGACATTGTCAGTGAACAGTGCCTTATTGACCCGGTTACATTTGGAGAGAGTTTCGAGCGTGCAACTGCAAAAATGGGGAAAAACGGTTAAGCAGAGCGCAAGGAAGTACACGGGAGTTTTTTCCTATCACATTACCTTATATTTACTCGAATGACTACGGGAGACGTGACTATCGTTCCGATTTTTGTTTCGGATTTGAGATGAAAATTCGGAATGTCTTGCCAGTCAAAGACCGCATTCGAAAAAAAACGGGGATACAGAGAGTCCACAAAACTTCGAACGTGGTTTCGAAGCCACACAGATTTAAGTCGCGTATTTTATCACAATTACCTATTTTATTATGTAATTTTTTTTTTTGTTTCTTTTTAGAGTTAACTGCGATATTTGTGTCTTATATTTTATATGTATAGAAATAGTTCAACTTTTAGAGTCAAAATAATTAGCGTTGTTTCATTGCAGAGGTCTATGAAATGTGTTATGTGTCGTTGCGTGACTCCGTTTTGTTTGTTTCTGTTTTCTTTTTTTTTTTTTTCGATAAGACAAATTTGTAAATAAGTCAACTTTTGCGCCGCGAGTTCGGCGCCGCAATATTTTTATTTTCGGAGAATACACGAATTTTTGTTTTTTTCCTTTTTCGTTGTAGTCATATTCGTCCAAAATTTTAACGTGTAACGTCCGCTACAAGGAAGACGAAAACGACACTCGGCCTATGTCACGTTATTGTGCGATAACTTGCCTTTAAGTCCACAAGCGTTAATTAACGTTCGCGATTCAGAGTTCTCTACAATTAATTACAATTGATTATAATTTAAAAACAAATTCTACAATCGCGACTACGATGTCTGAAACAAGTCATAATTTATTTATAGATATTTGCTTGTTTACGATGTTGTAGTGATAGATTCGAAATTTTAGTTGATCGTTTTGCACGCGTGAAATAAAAATTGCGCGAATTAGCTACTTGAGAAAACTGTTTTTTCTTTGTTACGTCGATAGTATATACTACTTTTGTTTGTATGTGCGAGATCCTCGTGTCGCGTGATATATTTGTTGTAGTATTGTAAACGAAGATTGTTTTAAAAAAGTTTTACTTATTTCCGACTTGTCTTTTTGAAGTGTAAAAGATTAAGGAATATTACGCCTGGGATCTAACGTATGTTTCCTAGTAAACACATCTTGTACATCAACGAGTACAGACCCGCGTTGGGAGACGCGACACTTACCGGCGGGTCCTTTAATTGTCCTACAATACGCGTAGATAGTTTAGGATGTAGTTGTTATTTGTTTTTTGCGTTTTAGCGTAACGTCTATGTATAATTAAGCGTTTAAGCGTGCTCGGACACAACGTGCTGTTACGTTCTTACGGTGGATTCAATTCGGGGGAATCTGTTGCACACGGTGAACTTCGTCAATTGCGACCTATGAGCTTATGCATTTAACCGTATGAGAAAAAAAGAGTACGGAGAAAGAGATGAACTAAAACAAAAATAAAATAAAAAAAGAAAGAAAAAGAGAAAAATACGGCAAGTCCGCGGGACACGCGGATGCATTTAACGTGGAAAAAAAAAGGAAAAGAGGAAGAAGAAAAAATGGTCGGTCTAACCGCGGAGGTGGCGAGACGGGGAGAAGAAATGTCTCGTCGATCGCCCCGTTGCGAGGAAAAAAAGAAACGAGTTCACATGCGCATCGTGGCACACACGACCGCACAAACATTACACCTAAGATACACTCACACGACTTATATACATATATATATATATATAATAGACACACTGCGTATATTTTTATTAACTTGTGCGTATATATGTATGCGAGCGGGGAGAAAAAAGTGGTTGTTTTGCGCGTGAGAGCGCGAAAGTCGGCGAGAAAATATACATATATTAAAGAAACGAGAACGCGAGCATTTGCATAAAACAAAGAGAGGAGAATCTACTTTTTTCTCTACCGCGCGCCCACACTCATTCACGTGTCTGCCAGTGATTTGAAAGTTCGTTCACGTCGAGACGCGTAGCTGAAAACATATATATATGTATGTACGTAATTGTATATGTATATATGTGTTTGTAAATAATATGTTTCTTTATATAAATATTATATGAAAAATTGAAATTGAAAGATATTTGTCGTGTGTATTAGAGTTACATAAATGTATACATACAAATATGTACATGGAGATAGAAAGAGAGAGAGAGGGAACACTAGCTGACACGTAGTGGTGAGGAGAATAAAGCGAAACGGCTGGTCGTATCGTAATTTTGCGCGAAAATCGAGCGAACGAATTGTACGGCGGTAGGAATTTGTGTACACGCGCGGAAGAACAGAGCGAAGTGAGATATTTCCGAGGATCTCGGCTATATGGTACAGTAAGTGAAATTTACTTCCGGCGAGATCTTTCGCTCACGCGGCGCATCCTGTTTTCAAATCGTAAAGATCTAATTTTAATTCTCATTTCTTTTCGAGGTCTTGATCGCGACGTGGCGAATTGCAATCGCTCGAAAAATTGATTCGTATGTTTTTTTTTAAATTGGTAAAACTAAAGGATGCGAATATAAATGAAGAAAACGTGTATTTTCTCAATTCTTCCAGTTCTTCCGCGATATATTAGAAACAACTTCTTCCGAGGGGTCTCAATGTCACTTTTAGAAGAAACGCACAAGACTAGAAACAAGTCATTTTTTTAATGATTCTAGAGTGGCGATTTTAATGATGCACAAACATCGAAACAATTTTCTGTTTCTTTTAATTTTAATTCTGAATAAATATCTAACTTTTGATTGGATACCTTATTTTAAGAAATTTTGAGCATTAAGCGTTTGTTTTTAATTTTGTCGAATTAG